GGAGCTGCTTGGCCTATGGGATCTGCCTTAGGGTCGATGCCAAATAGAACCGTGAGTCTCAATTAGGGTTCGTCTCCTTCCTGCCTCTCCACTCCCAGGTATCCAGAGGTCTCACACTATTCCCCATCACCCTCGTCCAGGACTGACTCATCCATTAGACATAGCAGACACAGTGCCAAAGGCCCACACTATGTAAATGTTTTAATTTCTTTTAAAATCAGAAGAAAAAGATGAATTTTTAAGAAGGAAATGTTTTAAAACAAAATATTGGTATAGTTGTGTTTATACCAACAGTTATATTTAAATACTCTTTTTACCAAGGAAGTGGGAGGTCCACAAAAGCAAGAGCGGACCCAGGGCCCACGGAAGCCATGACGAGGCCTTGCCCTGGTCTTCCCTCCTGCCCACTCAAATCCTCTAGACTCCAAGGATTTCCCTCCTCCATATCAAAACATACCTGACCAGTGTCCCTCCACTAGCCCTGGAGCTCCTGGAGGGCAGGACTACTCTTTATTCATCCTCATGTCCCCACGCTCACATCAGGTATGGTGTTGCCATTTTTTCTTTTTTTGGAGGGTGGGGGTGGGGTGAAGCAGAAATCTCAGGAAAAGAGGATAAGGCTAGGTTTAAAATATTGCCTGAATGAAAGAGACCCATTCCTCAGCCCTGCTCTCCAGCAGTGAGCTAATGTGACAGCAGATTCAAGCCAAAGCAGAGGTTCTTAATTTGAGCTGTATGGCCAAGTCTTGCAGACCTGAGAACTCCTGGAAACTGCACAAAACTTCACATCTGTGCAGTCTTTGTCTACATCCCCTACACTGAACCCCACTGAAACTGCTTCTGCCAAGTTCACCAATCATCTCCAACTCAGTAAAATCTAACAGACACTTCTCAGGTGTAATCCTGATTTCTCAGCAGCATTTGACACTGCTCACCCAGCCCTCCTATTTGGCTTGCATGACACCCTGCTGCCTTGGTTTCTTCCTGTTTCTCTGGACACTCCTGCTCTTTTTCCTTTGCAGGCTCTTTGTTCTGCTGGGCCATTAAAAACAAATAATAATATAATAGCAGCAGCTGACACATATCAGCTATTTACTCTGAACTGGGCACTAGTATAAGTATCAGCTGTTTTAATCCTTAAAATAATCTTATATCCATTCTCCAACCATCAGCCAGAATGACTTTTCTGAAAACCAAATCTCATTATTTCCTTGCTTAAAACCTTATAATGGCTCTCTCCTGCCTACAGCTTTTAAGGTCTTTCAAGATTTGCCCCCTGCCTACCTCTCTAGCTGATTTCTCACCACCACCTCTTCCATTACCACCCTCCTGCTTTTTAGCTTCTCTGAGAACTCTAGGTCTTTGAATGTGCTATTTCCGCTTCCCGAAACACTTTTCCTCCACCTTGTAGCCTAAACACAATCCCTTTTTCAGGTTTCAGTTGAATCTCACCTTTCCTAGGAGCCAAGGTCTGGGAGAGGGGTAGTTATAAGATTGACACTGAAACTAGTTTGCCAGGTTCAACTCCCAGCTCTGCCACTTCCTAGCCATG